GTTTTAATTGCGTTTATTTAGTCCGGAAAAAATTCGGCGCGCAGTTTGAAAAAGACTACAATATGGTATATATGCAAGTACATATATAGTATATATTAGTAATTCAAAATTGAATTATTTAAAGCAACGAAGATCCAGCTCCAACCGTAATAGGCCGTTACACCCTTATATTGTTTATACTGCGAGCACATGTATTGGGTTGCACTTTTAACGTAACATTAAACAGTTAACACTACAGAGCCGCCAAAGTCGGAATTATAGAAGATATTCCCTCTTGGAACTATCGAAACTAATTATTTTTGTTTTCCATTAACGTGTGTGAAGCGTTATTTTCATATTTATACTAATTAAAAGTTTGTATCAATATATTTTTTATATTTTATAATTGCATACTAAAATTTTACTGCAATCAATTTTGTATCAATTAATATTATAATAATTTCGCTGTTCGCGCATAGTTCTATCATTCGCGTGTATATCATTCTTCTTTGCTGCTATGCAGATAAATAATAGGGAGTTTTGTAATACCATTTATCCAGTTACGGTGAACGCCAAAGTCAGGTTATTTTCTTAATAACTAATTAAGAATAGAATAATGTGACTTTAACCGAATCTGGATCCACATTATGGCAAAAATTCCTTAATACCTTACTTTCAAAGCGAATACCATCGAAAATGTAAGAGATGGAAAAAAGTTGTCGATAAAATTTGAATGGTTTCAAGAACACTTTATAATGGTAAACAATTTTTTTTGTTTAATAAAAAACAAATAATTTTTATTTGAAAAAATAAAAAATGAAAACAATTTTTTAATAATAATTATTATAATGTAATCTTAAATTTTCGTTTAAGTTTTAATAAAAATTTTTCATTTCTTATAATTCCGATAATATTCGCTTTGAAAGAAATTGATTTCGGAAAACATTTTTCATTTCTTATAATTCCGATAATATTCGCTTTGAAAGAAATTGATTTCGGAAAACCTATTTTTGTCAAAGGAATGTTCACTCTCTAAAAGTACATATGAGCACGTAAAAAAAAATGTATCTTTTATTTTGGGTTAGATAACAAAAGTTAAATACTCATCAAAATGAAGAGAACACTTTAATTCGTTTCGTTGTAAATACCATGTTGGCGACTTCGACGGTTTAAGATAAAAATAAAAATAAACTGTTTAAATATAAATAAAATTTATTAATTTTATTTTTGTAAATTTTTTTAACTTATGAAAGGATAAAAATTTAAAGAAAATTATTAACCAATACAAAAATTTACGCAGAAGTTTTAACAGTTTTTAACATCAAAGGAGCTAAACAGCGTCGTCCATGATTCTAGTGTTAAGACATAAGACATTGATAAATCGATATAGTTTAAGCAAGTGTTATACCACAAACGGGACTATAAGTATCTCTTATAGGAACTGAATTACTTAAGGAAAAAAAATAACGAGTATTATTTTAAAGGTTTAGATAATTTTTTCTAAAGCTCTATAGAATTTTTTTTAAGAAACTATCCATCGATAAGATTAATTAAAAATTCAATTTAAATTAAATAAAAAAAAGTAAACCATTACTATATTTTAAACCATTACTGTTTTTTAGAAGAAGGAGGGTATGCCAGCTAGATATAGGATTTGCAGTTCTAGATTCTTGAAAGGATTAAAAATTTTTTAATAAATAGTTTCAATATGTAATGCACGATTTAATTGTATGAAGAAACTATATTTATCTTAATAACTGTATCGCAGACATAAAATAGGTAAAATTTTAGGAACGTTTTTATCAACAACAAAAAATAACGTGAGCTATTTATATATAATACTCACGCAGTAATAATAATTACCATATTATGGCAGATGTCAAGTGCTTCATCTGAACCATCTTCACAGTCCGTTATTCCATTGCATATCTGAATGTTTGGTATACATTGACCACTGATGCATTCAAAAAAATCATTTTTAGATTTGGAGAACTCAGTGTTATATCCGAATCTACAGTTTGGTAGTTTTGACGGGTTTCCGTAGAAAAATTCTTTTAACATAATTTTTTATTATTAGTATTATCAGTATTTTAAAATATATGTAAAAAAAAGACATAATCCCAAGATGATTGATGTAATTGGTATGTTGCGGGTGTGTGAGCGCGCGCGCGCGTGTGTGTTTGTGTGTGATTTAACTCTTATTGCATTATTGGCTTATTATAGTTTCGTTACTGGTAGGCTTTGTAACAGCAATTCTGCTGACGCCTAATCATTTTGTAAACTACTTTTGTCTAACGTATTTATATTTATGTTATCTATGTTCTATTGTATCACATGTTATGTCTATATTACTCTGATAATATGTAGTCTTTTCATATAGCTTTGCAATAAACTAAATTTAAATTAAAATTAAATTAAAATTAAATTTTAATGTTTTAATACATAAATGTCTGCAAATTCGAACCAAAGATAGATATGTATAAAACAATTTAATTAAGAATTAGTTGAGTAAAGGAATAAAATTTTTATATTATCAAAATATCTTACCGCCAAATGTAAAAGAATATAAACTGCATATAAACAGTAGTACCACAAGCCAACGCATGATCTGCAAATAAACAAGTTAAAATAAAATTACAATAAAACGAATTAGGATTGACTAATTACTTATTGTTCTTCCAATTATTTTTTTCAACAAATTCATTCAATATATGCATTAATAAACCACGTATTTTAAATCGCTTTACAGTTAAAGAAATTGGCTAAAATTATTTGTGACATGTAATACGAGTGAATAGACGGGCGAATTTAATGTTCGTAATGTAATAAATGTAATCATGACTCAAGCGCAGAATTTATTAGAGATAAAATTTATATGGAAAATCGAATCCAAACACAAACGTAATTCTGTTTCTTGAAATTTTATGTTAAAACGTTTTTAACTTTAATTATATTATTTAAAATATATAAATAATAAAAATTTAATAAATAGTATTAAATGTCTATTAATGGAATCTTTAAGTGAAGCCAAAACTCTGATGGAATCACTGTTTTATTGACAATATGCAACAGATTTTTATATATGTATTACTATATTAATATCACACGCAAACATATAAATTTTTGTAGAATAATAGAACTTTAATTTGACATCTAAATCTAATTTCAAATCGACGTTGTTTCTTCATGTAATCTACTAGTTTGTAGCCTCAAATTTCATAAGTACCGGTTGCACAGTTTTCGGACCAAAATGCATGACTTGACAGTTCTAGACGTCATTTTGAACTAAGAAATGATAAAAAAGATCACAATTTCAAAAATTTTTATCGTTCTTGGAATAAATTCCAAGCTGTAGATGCACATATTACTGCATATACTTTAATTCTGAAGAAGGATTTCCAAATCAGTAAAAGTACAATAATTAATATATGTAATATTGTTCTATGAAAATTATTGTGTTTATTCAGTAAAACAGACGATTTTAGGATCACTCTTATAATTAAGAATATAAAAAGAATCCAATTAGAACGTCGTATCTTATAATATATTATATAATATTATACTTGTTATACTTACATAAATAAGTACAACGTAAACGAAAAGCAGAAATCACATTTATTTGTATTTTTTCCAAATATATTAGTAATTAAATGCATTTAGCGCTGTAAAGCGGATGTCAAGGTACACATCTCTATACTATTTTTTGTAAAAAGAAATTCATTAAAGTAAAGTAGAAAGTAAAAAGAAATGCATTAGTAAATTCTCTCGATTAACATTGAAATTAATAAATTAATGTTCAATGAAGAAATGTACACACATATAAAGTATTTAAAATTTTAATAAGTGCCGTGTTTTACGATGTTAACTTTTTATAGAGCGCGAGTGTAGCACAGCGCACTGGTCAGTAGGAAATATTTACGCATGTGTCTCCTCTCGGAAAAGGTCAACAACCTCCCGAGAGTATCCTTGTCCACAGAAACACTTCTCAAAGAAACCGCTGTTTGGAACCGGGATAAAAAATTGTAGGTCCTGTATGTCGTAGCAATTGAATAACCAGTGTGCGCGCCACAAGCATATGAGAAAGATAAAGGCCAGAGGCCTAACGTAAGAAGAAGAAGAAGAAGAAAAATAATTTTTTATAAATACATATAATGCAATAAAAAAAATAGTTTAACGCTAGTTAATTTACATAGCAATGGTAACATAATTTAACGACTAAGAGACGAGCAAATTGGATATTAATATAATTAAAATACATTTAATGATCTAATAAAGTTGTATACAACGTTTCAGGGCGCAGAGTCTTTACTCGTTTATAATTAATTAATAGAATAATTAATTCATAAAATAATATTACACCATCTTCCATTTCAAATTAACTTAAAATAAAATGACAACAAGAGGCCAAGTCATAATAAACAGTTTCTTTCAAATTCTAATATGATAATCGTGCACTGAAAAAGAGATTGGTTGCTGCAACAATTTAGATAGTAAAATATGGCATAGCATTTTTATGGTTACTGCAACCATATAAAAATACTATGCCATATTTTACTATCTAAATTGTTGCAGTAACCAATCTTTTCTTTCAATGTGAATATGTGATTATCCATGTTCAATTTGTGATAAATGCAAAAAATTAAAACTTAAAAATTCTACTGATAATAAATTTATTGTCCGATGGCGAGAAATATGTTAAATTTAATATATAATACAATACATATTACAAAAGAACTTTATTTTAAGTTAATTTAGTATGTAAGACTGTGTAATATTAATTATATTAATTAAAGACTGTGTAATATTAATTATATTAATTAATGGCTTTATTAATTAAATTATGAAGGGATGAAAACTCTATATGAGACAAAACATTAAATTTTATATATATTATTTTATTAGATTATTAGATGTATTTTAAATATCTTAACGTCCAATTTTTTTTTGCTCGTCTCTTAAACGTCAAACTATGTCATTATTGTCACATGTGACCTTAAATTAATATTACTGTTTTTATTATATTGTTTTTATTATCTCGAGAGCTTAATTTAGATTATTATTGTGTTAATTAATATTACATTTTAAATATCATATAAAATATTAATAATTTGATAAATATTGTTACATTTAATTATGTATATAATTAATTTTCTTATAACGTATATTTTGAAAGAGAGCAATGAGTACTTAAACTTTATTTTAAAAAAAGAAACAAATGTACTCACCATAGTGAATGGAAGTTCTATGTACACGTATAAGGCTCAGATTTATTTTTGATAACTTAAAATGAGGAAACTCGTGCTTCGACACGGTCGCGATGCCATTTGAAGCAATACTGAGACGCTGGGATCAAATATGTTTGTTCCAAATTTCTTTCCTCTATCTCATAAAAACTATCACGCCAGCAACGACACTTAAAAATCGTTGCTGACAACCCAGGTGCTGACTACGATCCATTTCATGCTAGAAATACTTTGAAGCATTCTTTGAATTGATAAAATTCTTATCTCCAGATTTATCAATTAAATATCTCGAAGCATTGTAAAATTGAGTGGAATGCATTCAAAATTTTTGATTTAGTATGATTTGATTATACATTATATAAGTACGAAAACATTTATATTCCACATAATCCAATATTAATATGGAAAAAATGCCATTTCCCATATATTACATCCCAAGGAGCGCAATTTAGTGGCATAAGTTATACTTTATATAACTATGCTCCTTGGGGAGAGAAACTCGTTTGACCAGATTGAGATTAACCATCAGCCACTCACAGCGCTCGTACAGCAGGAAAACTCTGGACACCCCTGTGAATTGCTGATGACCAATCACAGCGTGGTCAAACGGGTTTCTCTCCTTTTTGGAAAAGGAAAAGGCCAGTGATGGATTAACGGATAGGCAAACAAGGCACTTGCCTAGGGCGACAGAAAATATTTACACAGTTGAGATAAATTTTTAATTTGTTAATCTAACGTTTTTGCATGAATTACACCGAGCATATTTTATCAGAAACGATATTTTAAAAGTATACTTAAAAATATGTCATATTTATATTATTTATTAAGAATTATTAACCCTCGAACGACACACTCTTATTTTCGGTACCTTTGAACGACACACATGGATCATTCGTGTCCGACTCGATTTTAAGGCTCTTAAAGTGCTTGAAAAATTCTGTTAAAATTCACACATATTCTTTAAGGTCTCTACTAAATTATTCTGCTATGCAAACATTGGAAACAATTTTTAGAAAAATTATGAAAATTACTTTCTGTACCAGAAAAAGAAAATAATTCAGTTTTGATATAAAAATTGTAACTTTGCTATATATGTACCAAAAAAAAAATCATTGTAGGATGTTTTTGTACAGATATCATAATTTACAAAAAAAAATATTACACAAGCCAGATGCAAAAAGAGTGCGATTATTTAATCTGAATATGTCATATTTTTAATGTGGACAAATAGAGTATTTTTAAAGAAAAAACAGACTTTAAAGAAAAAACATTTTTGATTTTATTAAAGTACAAAAATGATTATTTTTAATGCAAACAGAAATATTTAAAAAGTGATTACAGAATATTAAATTTTGTTATGGTATGCATTCGCTGCATATCGGTGACCTGTGGACTTCGCATATCGGCTTCCCGCAGTGAATTCAGCAAAAAAAATATAGACACGACAAAATAAACCTACTCAATACAAAAATAGCAAAATAACTGAATTCACTTACTTGTGAAAAAGGCACCTTCCGACTATAAATATGGGTCTTTCGGTTCCTCACGCAACTTTGCGACCGTGCTGCTCTCTCTCTCTCTCTCTCTCTCTCTCTCTCTCTCTCTCTC